CAGTGCTGTTGTCCTGCGTAGTTTGCTCCCTTAGTCGCCTCTTACGACACCCACGGGATGAATACTGGAATGGGGTACTCTGTATTCTTAGTCCGTCACCACACGGTTAGTATCTATTTTTCACACCCCTCTTTTTTTAATCTTTTTATTTGACTTTTTGACGTGACAACGTCTTATAAATTGGTTTGCCGGGTGACACTTCAAGAAACTGCGTTACGCTCCGCTCACGTTATGCGCTCACAATGAGAGCGAGTGAGAGGCACGCGTCCCTTCCAATCGGGCATGGTTAGCCCGCCTAAGAGCGAGAGAGACAGACATAGTCGTTGTCACGTAAAACTTTCGCCCGTATACCGACTTTACAGGCAACCAATTTTTTTTTGAAATAATGTATATGGCACAACAACGTTTGCCGGGTCAGCTAGTCTAAATATATAAAAATGTTAAGTTTGTTTGAAACTCAAAAACTCAAAAAGTTCTGCACCAATTGAGCTCACATTTTGGGACGATAATTCCATCGCTTCATGGATCGTTTTTATCTAATTTTCGCAATTTTAATGTGTAACAGCGAAGCGTAGCAGGGTCACATATACATATATTTCATATCTTAGTTCATTCATTTCTAAGTTTATCTACTTCATATAATTATTTCTATACTAACAATTCTCTTGTAGTAAAATAGTTACCGTTTTCTTCTAATAACATGTAACGCAATATTAAGTGAATTACTAGGGCATATTTATGTCAATATTAGATTATGTGATCAAAGATGCCAATAATTATTAAGAATGAGAGTTTTTTCTAAGCATTCCAGGTTCTGTAGGTTTCAATTGAAGAAAACATTGCCAAGTAACATATTTACAAAAAAAAACTACAAATTAAATAGCATCAGGTTACGAAATCAAAATAGTGCCTTAAGAACTATCTTCTAGTCAGTCTAGTTTATCTTTAGATATCGACTGAAAAACATACCAACTTAAAAAATAAACTCTAAAAAATCAAGCCAGAAGAGATCCAGTTGATGCAGGAAAAGCTCATAATATATGCAAATAAGGACAGAAGGTAATGAATGTTTGGTAAGGCTAGATAAATGATTCATTACAGTAGAGGGGACAAAATAAGATGAATGCATGATGTGACTAGCATAAGAAACAATAAAAGGATGTAAGCATTGTGTTATTGGTAGTTTCGGTAGCAAGTGACGGAACAGGTGACTAATACACAATTGTTTATTATAGTCAAACTAACAAAAAGGTGACGGGTTAGCCTGTATATCGGTAAAACCTGAGGAAAAATAATTTTATTTCATACCATGAGTAAAGACAGATGACGTTCTATGCTTCAAATAAGTTTTTTGTTGAATCAGATCTTGACTTGTTCCTTACAATTTGTATGGAAATAAGATAAAATCGACCCTAAAATTGCTCGTTTAGTTGTAAACACGCAAGACACTACTAAGTAAGGAATAACGTATTTCATTCAAGAGGGCACATCAACTATACTATATGGAGTGGCCAGTACGCAACCTTGTTGACTAGAATTTTAGAGACCCAAATTTCTATATAAATAAATATAGAGAGAGGAGAATTACGCACTAAGAGAGAATTTTTAGAAATGTCACCCATAAGGTGGTAAAATAAGGGATGAACGGTTGTATAGAAGTTCATCGTTTTCAAAGTTAGAACCACGAATTAAGACATAATCACGCGAGCGAAGCCGCGAGCAATAGTTAGTTTTGTATAATGACACAGAAAGTCTAAAGACTTATTCATTTGTTTAACCGTCAGGGGGGGGGGGGGGGGGGGGGGGGCATTTTGAAAACGCAAAAATTGAATATTTGTTTGTTAAATTAAGATTATGTCGGTTGTCACTTTAACTCACAAATACATTTTTTAAGGAACTTGTATTTTGTCACCTGCTTCCACCCGGTATGTACTTTAATGTCAACACGACGTGTTTGATGTCACTGACTGTGTAAAGCATCTGCTCCCCAGTCATTATTTACCATACATGATATTATTTTTATTTACTTAAGTATTCTTAGTTATGTTGTTATTATTGTGTTGTAATATGAAGGCTTAGTGGAGACCCTGCAGACAACAGAGAATTAAAAAAAAACGAAAATGAAATGTATGGTACTAACCATTATTATATAAACAAGTGGATTTATTAGATCTATAGAGTGGTTCCTTATGATTTAGAAATAGAGAAAGAAAAGAGGAGTCAGACTTTGGAGATGATCCTTATATCCTAGGAAATAAGATATCAAGTATATTAAACTGGATTTTCAACTACAAAGGAGGTTCGTAGTTCAACAGAATTTTAATTTTACTTATATTTTACTTACTTATTTAATTATACGGAGTGTCACCATCAACTATGGGTGTCGTAAGAGCGGACTGTGAGTGTGGTATAGTAGGCCAAAACCTCCTTTCTAAGAACAGGCCTATGTCCAGCAGGGGACTTTAATTGCTGTTGATATGATGTTGATGACATATGTAAATTTAGGAATCAATTTCATTGAGTTATAGAAATATTCTCTAAAACAAGCGGTTAAAAATTAAACAATGATCTAATTATGTTATAATTCATACTGTTCGACTTATTAATGTTATTATATCGACTATTTAATCATTCAGAAAACCTGTTACATTGTAATACTTTTGCTTTTCTGAAAGAAAAGCTTTCAAAGCGCTTTTTGAATGCAATAAGCGTTTAAATGCTTAAGTAATACTAACGGGAAGTCGTTGCATGCGAGCAGCACAGGACCGGTTGTTGTGGAGCGCCTTGGGGGAGGTCTTAGGGGTTTTCTTCTCAGATGATGATGATGAATATAAACGTTCCGTTGAATAATAAAAAATCCTTTTTACCAACCAACTTTTTATCATTCCGCGCGATGTCATCTAATTCTAAGTAAAATCACTTTATATTACTGTGACGACACACCGTTTTGGGATATTAAGAAAAACAGTATTTTTAAGCAATTTTCACACGTTTTTTCAAATTATATTCCATGTAATGAGTAATTTACTTGTTCAAACTTACAATGGCAAAATATTACTTTAATTTATGTACGTTTTAAAATTATCACACGCTCACTTGTCAACGTGTGAACAACGGTTTTGATAAATTGTCTTTTAGTTGATATTTTTGTACCTTTCTTTGATGGTGATTAAGAGGAGGAAATCCTCATAAAGTCACCTGTCAAGTTATTGTAGGCCGGTAGTGTGGGATTCTTACCCACTAAAAACTTCCCCTCCCTTGTACCTAGAAGCGCGGGACCGCGTTAGCAATAGTTCGCGGCACTATAACCTCTCCCTGTCGTTAGAATATTTTGTACTGTGTATGTTTTTTTTTGTAGTAGAACTACTAAAATAATTGTAATTTTAATTAAAAACAAATTAATCTATGATATATGTCATTTGTCTCCTTTCTAAGGAGAGGCCTATGTCCAGTAGTCGACTAGTATAGGCTGTTGATGTGTGTGATATGTCATTTGACATGTATCATATATTATCCTATTTTGATATCCATACTAATATTATAAATGTTAAAGTGAGTTCGTTGTATATGTTTGTTATTTTGTTTGTTACCACTAAACCGATTTCAAAAATTCTTTCACCAATGGAAAGCTACGAGTACATTATTTATTTATTTATTTACACTACATACATACTCGCGGGCGGAGTAGCGTGCAAAAGCTAGTAAATTATACAACGCTGACTCATGATGTACGAGTAACAGATGTTTTTTTGAAGATATTATAAATTAATTAAGTATTCATTTATTTATTATGATAATGAATAAGATTTTAATATCTAATACTTGGAATTAGGAAACAAGATGCAACACTGTTCCGTATAGGTCGGAATTACGTTTTATAAGTACCTTAATTCCGTGGTATTTCCAAAAAGTAAAATACAGGTGTTAATTGCTTTTTTGAGGATTTAGTAACACAGAGTATCGTATTTTCACCTTTTAAATAACTTTAATTATACGCAAATTACTTTGACTATACTCATATTTTTATTACAAACGAATACCTATGAAAAAGAAAACAGTTTTACTACAATTTTACATGATATAAGTTTCAATCAGTTATTTGTATTAGAAATATTTTTTTAATTTTATTATATTAGGTAATTATTTTTAAGTAATTTATTATGTTAATAATAATTAGATAATCTCATCCTAATAAATCACACTTCCATACTTTTTATTATAAATGTAAATGTGGAGCGTCCATTAATTACGTGAGGGATGATTTTCTGACGCCACCTGCCCCCTTTTTTTTCCTGTACGGAAATCCCCTCGGATATCACCCGGTGATCATGTCGGACACGAACCGACCAAAAACCGCACGCCGTCTCGGGTACCAGTACCCTAGAAAGGAAATCCCTGGTACCCCGACGTACCTCGGGCCATCCACGGCGTGTAGATGACCCCCTCCTGTGTAGGAACCCCTATGTTCCCTTTGTGCTCCCTAAAGGGCGCGCGCGCTCCTCCTTAGTGAGATGTCTTGAGATTCGATTCAACCCCCTCCCCCATCCCTCGATCTCCCGTGAGACTTTTAAAAATGTGTTTTTAGTGTAAAGGCGGTATAAAGGCTGGCAGTGGCGCGTAAACAAACAACGCGACGGGCTACTGTGCAATTTCGCACTCGCAACACCATGATAAATTTTATCGTATAAGACTTGGCAATATTTCCGTGGAGGAACATGTTTTACAGATACTGTTATTTGAATTCACACAGCTACTACGAGGTCTGAGTTATTCATATAATACCTACTAAAATTGTATAGAAATAGGAGGCGAAGAAAAAGCACGTGTGGCCCTCAAAATGCTGTTTTCCAACTAGGTATTATATGTATAAATGTTTTTTTCTGCTTTGTCTACACCTGAATTAATATAATTAGGTTAATGTGTAATTGCATATTGTGGCGCAATTTTATAAATCATATAAAACAGAAACTGAGATTGATTAGGTATCAGGGTTCACAACTATGACCTTGGTAAACAATCAACGACTCACTCTAGCTACTACGGGATATAAGTATCATTTCCCCGGAATCGGAATTAGGTAAAAAAAAAAGGTATGTACCAATATCGGCATTACATTTAGTTTTTACATCAGAATAAGGTGCCTCAAAATGTTTTATAGTTTACATTTTTGGCAGTTTAGATCACTTTTCTATTGTTAGAATATTATTATTACCTTTTAAGAGCAAAATAACTAAAATTTCTGATTAAAAATAAGCAATTTTATACATAGGTGATAAATTTTTATGTTATTCTTTTGAGATAAGATGAGAATTTAGCAGCCGAATAAAGTGTATTTAACTTATTACTGACTTGCGAGCTTTTTTACCTGACGCGTTCATTCACACAGACTTTTTTTTATTTGTTTACACCACTACCGATAAAAGCGACCGTGCAATGCGCACGAGTTAGTCCGTGTTGAATAGCTGTAGCGTGCGTACGTATTCTGCTCCGTGTAATTAAAGCACATCGTACTTAACCACGGGAAAATTTAATTAATTCCCGTCCCGTATTTGTGTCCTGTACTTATTTAAATAATAAACTTAATTGTTTATAAAATAAGGTTTGTATTGATAAAAAAATACCCCAAAATCAATAAAGACATCCTAATTTAAAAGCTATTAGAAGTGTTTAAAAGTGATTTTGAAGTGCATTAAAAAGTGTTATATAAAGTGACTTTCATTAAAGTGTAAATGTGTTGACAGGTGGAACTTTCGTTCACTCGTAAGTATTGTGCTTCTTATTATTTTCTATTTCTTATTCATCTCATTATAAATCGACAATAGCATTCGCGCCGTGTACGTGCTGCAGAATATATTTAATGTATTACATTAGTTAACTTAAAATCGATTTGTCACACAATATTAACTGTGTTTATGTTAACTAGATAGATATAGACCATAAAGCAATTTTTTTTTAAAGTTGCAGCTAATGCTACCAGTGGTATTTTACACGGTCACAAAATCAGTCAGTAAAGACTTATGTTTGGGATAATCTTAAAGCTAAATCTTGGACGTTTAAAAATATTGATGATTAAACCCATTAAGTATAGCAGATGATTTATTATATGTATCTCAATAATTAACTTAATGTTTCTGTTAAACGATAATTACTTGTAATGTTTTGTATACCATAGTACCTAGTGAAGATTATGTAAGTGAACTTTAAATTTTGAAGTAAACATTCTACCTTTAATATAATTTTTTGTGCTTAATCTGAGGTCTTTTACCGTCCTTACCATGTAATGAAATAAATTAGATGTGTTTGAATATCAGTAACACTTAGTTTATGATAATAATACGCTCCTTAAAGGACTTTCTTTTTTTTACATTTTTTTAATATTTAGTAGTAGCTACACTACATTGCTTTAGGAGCCTATATATTACACACTTAGTATAACTATAAAAAATACTATATCTATAGGTTCGAATCATACACGGTGACGGTGAATGATGCACATTTTATAATACTGTTATATTTCAAAAGAGGCAAACCAAGTGTCGAAGTAATAATACTATAAACTTTAAACAATATTTACAATATACACAATAGAACGAAACAACAACGATATTACCAAGGCAGTGAAAGTAAAATTTATGTACCTGGTAGAAAAGGTGCAGGTAGAGGATTAATAAAAAAATATTGCAGCTGCAACGCTTTAACTGTCCGTACTATAAAACTTTTTTGATTAAAAAAGCTGACATTGTAAATTTCGAACTCGAAGGACAGGTTAGGTTATGCCTCGGTTTTCTTTTCTTGTGCAAAGCCAGTTTGTTATTTGAAAAAATTAAGGGGCTGTAAGTTCTCTTGTAGCAGACTATGTACTTTTAGTAAACAAATAGTTCCTAACTAAAATCGTTTATTGGAATTAAAGAAACTCTACCAATCATCATTAAAGCTTTATATCTATAATGATGATTTACAGTTTAGGCAATTTTGGTGTTAAATTCTTTCATACAAGATTTTAAAATTGTCACGATATTATGTGCAACGAAGGTGCAAGGTATCGTATACGTTAAAAACAATTACTAGCAAAATTATATTCTTATTCTTATTTTCTTATTTTAAAAAGGCAACTCCCGCACTAGGGATAAGTCCCGTGACGTGGGGACTTTACAAACATACATGAAACGGACACAAAGGACACCCAGACTCAGAACAACAATTTGTGGATCACACAAAGTGTCGTCCCATGTGGGGATCGGACCCACAACACTCAGCATAGTAGTAAGCGGCGTGGCGACCGCTTAAACCACTACGCCACCCGTGCAGTCATATTGTGTAAAGAGTTAATTTTCAGCCGCACAAGGTGTAGGTATCAGAATAATATTTAATTAGTTGACTAACGTTCTTTTATAGTAATTTTATTAACATAACACGTATATTTATTTCAAAAATAAATAGAATGAAATTGCTAGGCAACCTGGTGCTCGCTCATACAGTATGTATGAAAAACCCTTCACTTATTACATTACACATACATACTTCACAGCACACTTCACATACTACATTAACATTAACTTCACACACTACGGACCGTAGTGGTCTAAGCGGTCACCTTGCCACATGGGACAACACTTTGTGTGAACCACAAATTATTGTTCTGAGTCTGGATCTCCTTTTTGTCCATTTTTTACATGTTTGTAAAGTCCCCCGTGACAGAGGATTAATTCCTAGTGCACGAGTTGTCTTTAAAAAAAACATATGAAAAATAATTGGGACCAATTGCTTACTGAATTTATCCACATTGAAGTTACAGGGGTTCCAAAACCTCCTAAATGACTTCTAGAAAATATGGTATGAAAGCACTTGTTTTGCTAGACTTGGGTAGGGCACTGCCATGCTCGCAGATTTTCGATTTGTTTGCATACTTATTCAATTTGAGTTTTAAGTTGAAAAAACAACGAATGTTAGTAAACTAACATGTAACAAGGTAAATGGAAATTTTTAACATTACGTAGTTAAACACCTATCGATAAAAAATCTTACACAACTCGTTTATGGTTTCTGAGAATAGTGCAGAGCGATTGACGCAACTACAATACCTACTTTAACCGCGAAAGTAAAATAATCTGAATATACCTATCTAACAATACCTAGATATCTATACCTTAAAAGTCTTAAAAAAGTTAAAACTATAAGAATTAAAAAAAAAACAATCTTTTACCGGCCACAAAGCTCGTCTGAATTTCGATTAGGTACATTAATTCAAAATATTTTTTCCTTGATAAATAATAGCCTTTGTGCTATTAAAGACTATAATTTATTTCTGCGCGAAATTTCATTCAAAACCGTTCAACCATTCCGGTATCAAACATTCATACAACAATCCTCCTAAAAACCATTTTTTTAAGTGAAAAATCTAATGCGTGCGTCGCCACGCTGTGTGATAGTATATGTAACATGCAATGGTGTGTGTTTATTCGTCGTGTTTACTATTACTATCTTTTATACATATATTATTTCTACAAAATAATTTCGATGTCAAACTTCCCGCAACGGTTTTTTTTTTCAAACACTTGCATTTATGTAGTCAAGAAAGTGAATGTGAACGCATCCTTAAGTAGAAAGTAGTCGTTGGAGAGTCAAAGATGGTATGTACGTTCAGCAAATGGCCGACAATTTTGCCGCTGGCCAATGGCCGCTGTTAAATTTAGTTCTTCTTCTATTTCTTGTGCTTCCTTAATGATTGAGTATTTATCTCTATGTGAGTCATGTTGTACTATTGCTTGAATAAGATGATCTCTTTCTGTTTTTAAGTATTGCTTATATTTAACTACCTGTGTTTTATACATATACTCTACGTTTATAAGACCCCTCCCTCCTTCTGTCAACGGTAAGTATAGTCGCTTTACTTCTGCTACATTATTATTATTATAGATACTATATGATAGATTATTTAGCCTATCGCTGTTTATTGCGTTACATAAGCCTCTCCCATTCTATGAACAAGGAAGGTGTTCGTTCACGTGTCCGCTTTCCACCCTCGCAATTCCATTATTTCCTTAGTTTCTCCGAATAATAATGTCCACTCTAATACTCTTTAATTCTCACAATCTCTTTCCAGCCAATCCTAAAATTTATTAGTCTGTGGTTCATCAAAGACAAGGCATATCAAGCACCTGTGATTGTTATTAAGGCTATACTACAATTGGGTAGTTTAACATTATGGTTTAGACGACGCATTGTGACGTCACAATGAGGTCGTGTATTCCAAATACGAATTTGAATAAGTTTTATTGACGTCAACCTCTTATTAAATTGGCAGAGAGGTACTTCATTCAACATTTACCTACAGACTAGAAACCATAAACAATAAATTCTTTTCCTTTAGATGTAGACTTACTGAGAAATATTATAGCAATTATAAAATAACAAAACATCTTCTAGAAGTGGAATTGTAATCATAAGCGCGTAATACAAGCAAACTGCAGTGAAATACATAAAAAACACCGAAGTTCGGCCCATGAACTGGCACATCCCACATTCCCAGTATTATACTGTAAGTTTTTTTTAAGTTTTGTACTAATAATAGGAAATCAAAATTATAATCAAATTAAAGAGTCTCTAGTGTCTAATTGACAAATCAATCAATGAACTTAATAAATACTCATAATTATTGCTCTCAGGACGAGAATTATAAATACGAGTAAAGCAAGCTGTGCATACCTATTTCTTGTGCCACACACCTGTTACAATGTCTATGTTTAAGCTTACTTTTTTAAAACGACAAAAAACGCAACGCAGGAGGTTGGCTTTTTTGGGTTCAACTTTGCGTTGATAGACAAGACAAGATACAAGACAAGATACAAGCACAATTCGAATTTCAAACCAACCACCACCATTATTTTTTAATTTATTACCGGCCAAATAAGTATTTAAATACTTTTAATTATTCTGTGTTACTACTAGGGATGTTTTATTTTGTATTATTGACGCGTAAAACTTAAACTAGTTTTGTTCCAGACTTTCAATGTAAGGTACAACACAGGTGCAACTGGCTCCAGTTGCTATTTAACCTTTTATCATAAATTTTAACACATACCGACTATTACTTACTAAATATTTTTGCTTTTTTTAGTTTTCTTCTACATCACAGTTAGCTTTTTAAATTTTTTTCTTGTAACTTCAGACAACTACAACAAAAATTTGTAAGTTTCTTTATTAATGTAAATCAATAATAAACATTCAATTGTACGAATAAATCAGACATTTATTCATTCATTAAATTGTAGAGAATCGTTTATAGAATCGAGAAGTTCTAAAAATAGAAGAGTAATAAAATCGCATTATTTTGATTCCGTTTAATGGCTGACTACTTATAAATACTTACAATTCGACGCGCGTCTATGGAAATTTGTTGTTGTTTTACTTTTAATCCGTTTTATAAATGAAATATTTATTGTCTTTATTCACTAGTGTCCGAACACTGCCGCTTTCCGTCATCGATACACGTGACAAAGCATCCGTCCTCATACTTGGATGATTAACCTTACATCACTGTACCTACGCTTTTCAATAAACTTTAAAATAAAAAAAATTCCGTCATCGATACACGTGACAAAGCATCCGTCCTCATACTTGGATGATTAACCTTACATCACTGTACCTACGCTTTTCAATAAACTTTAAAATAAAAAAATAGCCAAATTTCTTTTTATTTTAAAATTTTCATTTAAAACCCCAAATTTATAAGGAAAGAGCTAATAATCAAATAATAGTTA